CGAAACGTTAGGAAACAGAACTTCAAGAACATGGCCACACAGCCCGGAAGACCCACACCAGTCGTCATATGCCGGCCGTGAAAGCCTTCGACAATACAATGTGCAAGTAGTTTGCTGTGGCCATTTTTCTGGGATGTTTATTCCACTTCCCACTCGCCTGACGTTTTGATATTTCCTGGTGTTTTCCCATCCTAATACTAACCAGGTTCCCTCTTGCTTAGCCAAGATGGTCTAGGTGCTGTCCCCTAGCTGGTACTGGAAGTAAACAGCTAATGGCTGTGGGCATCATCTAAATTTGCAATGGAGGATCATCACAAATCACAACTTGAGACTTGTTTATTTACCAACTCTTACACACGCGTCCCACCACCCCCAGGCAAAAGATAGCTTAGAAAATTAGGCAGCTCCATGCATCCTTACATGCTAGAAACCCTACCCGGATAGACGCACTACAGAAAGTAAGTAACTCCCGTTTCTCCGCAGCAACATCTCCTGGCCGGGAAAAGGAGACGCGGCTACAGCTTTTCCCCTCTGAGCAATTCGGAGGAACCTGCCCTGCGTTGCATTAAGGTCTGAGCGTCTCCACCATCTTTCTAGACGGGACACGGGCAGGTAGGACACTGCGAGCGCACTTCACCACCCTCGAGGAAGCAGCGCAAGAGAAAGCGCCGCAAGAGCGCGACGTCCTCACTCCAGCGTCCGGACGGATCTGGGACCCCTCCCGCGGCGGCCGGGCAGAAGGCGGAGCTTGGCTCCGGGGCTGGCCATTGGCAAGCCGAGCCGCGCTGAAAGCGCCACGTGCAATGGAAAGTCCTCTCTCGGCGGCGCTCCCGGGGAAGAGGGGAAGGCGGGAGGTCTTTCCAGCCCCCGCTCCGTCGCGCGGTTCAGGTTGCCGTCCTGGCTGTCACTCAGAGGAGGTCGACAGGGAGCGCGCGCGGGCCTCCCTCCCCTCCCGCGCCGCGGCTCCCCTCAGCTGGCACCAGCCTTGCAGCGGGAGAGCAGCGCCTCCTCCGCCCCCGGCCGCTTTGCGTTGCATGGAGGGGACGCATCCCGGCTCGGGGCCGGGCTCAGTGTGCTGCCGGGGGGACCCGCGGGCGGACCGGCTTCTGCTCCCTCGGCTCTTCTGCTGAGAGTCCCGCCATCTCGGCGGGAGGCAAAGAAAGGAGGGAGGAAAGAGGCGCAGCGAGCTCCCTGCACGTCCCGGAGCAGCGCGTCGGAAGGAGCAACTTCCCCCGGCCCGCTTTCTCGCCTCGCCGGGCTCTGGAACGGCCGGAGAGCTCGTCGCGAGCCTCCCCGGATGGATTCTCTTCTTTTTTGTGCGATGATGCTCTCTTGCTTGGTGCCTCAGCGGTGCGGGCTCGCCTCCGGCAGGGAAGCCAGAGTCCAAGGTAGGAGCGGCGCCGCCTGGCCTCGGGGCGCGACTGAGGAAGCCGGGAGGAAGCAGGGGACCGCGAGGGTGGGCCGCAGAGACGCTTCCCCGAGGACAGGCGCGGGAGCGACGCCCCGACGGAGAAGAGCCGGGTCGCCCCGTCTGCTGGCGCGGGTTGTAGATGCAGCGCCAGGTGGGCTCTTGGTCCAAATCTAGCGGAGCCGCTTGCTGGAGAGGAAGAGCCTCGTGGCAAGCAGGCGTGCGCTTGGGGACCGCGTTCCTCCAGGCTGCGACAGAGTGCCGTTGGGTGGCAGTGCGGCTCTGCAAAACGGACTCTCTTTAGCTTCCCGGGGCAGGGTATCAGTGAGTGTAACTGCTGCTGCTGCTGCTTTTCAGTTTAGATGGAGGTGGGGGGTGGGGGGTGAGGGTTGCTATGTAATTGAAAAGCTGCCTTTTCGCCCAAAGGACGAAACACTTCCTGCCCGTTCGCTCCTTCCTCCCGATCGGGCAAGCGATCCTGCCAGCTGATGTGCAGGGTATCCCTTGATCCCTGTAGATCTGGAACAACTCCTGTCTCCCACATGTTGCTGGTTAGATATCTGGGCCTTTCGTTACCACTGGCCTCCAAATTTCTAAGAACCCACTTCCCATTTCAAGCTATGTCTGATCTGCCCAGCTCTCTCTCCCCTGATTTGGTGCTTTTAAATTGGAAAGGAAGACATAACTTTTCTTCCATTACAAGGGAGAAAGAGAATGCCAATCTTTTAAAAATCCATCACCTGCCTTGCTACAGGTTGGGCATGGACATAAATAGCATATTTAAACTTGACCATTCATCAATCAGATTTTCTCAGCAGGGTTAAACTTTTTTAACGAACATATGATCACACTAGTCAGCTTCATGGATTTCAGCTGGACTGTTGACTGATGGTTCATGGGAAGGGCTGACGTTCTTTTTGGTATTTTCTACCAGGTTAGTTTATTACAGGTACAGTCGATCTCATTTTAGAGATCTCTGTGGTTCCTTCCTGATGTGCAAGTCAATAGCCTATAAAACAAAATAAAATAACAGTAGGAGTTTGGCAGCATGCCAATCAAGAGAACTCTTTATAAAGAGAACTCTGTTTATAAAGGGACACTGTTTGATCATCTTCTTAGTATGTATTATTTAAATGTGAGGCTATTAATCTTCTTTTGGCATGTGATATCTGCCCTAGCACTGGTTTTGCTGAGATGAGAAACTGGAAACTGCTGTGAACGCAAGGGATTCCATTCCGAGGCTTTTCAGTGTCTGTTATCTTGCTGATGCACTATTTCATTTCAAAGGATTTCTCCCTTTTGGAGGACCTACATTCTGTGTTACTTGGGACTGCAGAATGAATCGCTTAGATGCTGGTGCTAGCCGGGCATATAAGTGGCATAAATGTATGTCAGCATGATTCTCTTCTGCTGCGTTGAACATGCTGTATTCACTTGACAAACTGAAGTTTGTAAGAGGAAATACTTTGTTCTGCAACTGGAGATGGAGCAGGGGTTCCTATATGCTTCAAATATCCTCCACCAGGGGTGGGGGGAATCAAAGGTAGTGGCTACCATGGGTGTGTGTGTGTGTGTGTGTGTATGTGTGCATGCGCTTGAAAACAAAAGCTTGAAGTTCACATTTTTCTATATAAATGTCTAGCCACTGTAAGAAAGCGTGAAAGATCAGAGTCAAATCACGATCTCTTCATCATTTTCATAGGTTTGTACAATATGCAATACATTATCAAAAGATTTAGCTCTTGATGACTCTATGCTTGTATCACTATCTACAGAGTGCAGTTCTGCAGAAGTGTAAAAAAGTGCAAAGTGCATTTTTGGGGGGTAGGGTGGCACAGAATGGACCTTTCTGAGCTTTTTCAGTTCAAAAAGCAGGAACGTACGCAATAAAGGTTTGCTTCGGCAAAGGCTTTTAATGTGAAAATATGCTTTAAAGTAAGTAGCAGTGCCTTGTCGCAGACACGTTTTGTATTTTCAGTGGTCAAAAGGCTTACACCATTCTTTCTCATATTGGGTGAGAAGTAAAATCAGAGTAAACAAGGGAAAAATAGTTACAGTACATATGAGTTTTGCAAATATACTCATTTGCATTAATATAGCCAGGTTGCAGAATTCACCCTTTTTTAATCCTAGTTTTTTTTTTTCCTCTCCCTGGGTACCTACAACACATAGAAATATAAACTAGCCACACATGCTAAATTAAAATATGGTTTAGTGACATCATGCAAACACAATCTTGTTAGGATTTGCTATAAGCGAAGAGCCGACGAACAGAGCTCCGTGTTGCTGGAGTTACAAGTGTATTTTGGGAAGAAAGGCTTATTTTCACATGCAAAAGATGTTTGAATGTATTGAAGTTTGTCTATCTGTATTTATTTCCACTAGAGTTGCTCCTGTCTGGAAAGCTAAGTGAATATGATGTGATTGTGCCCTTCAGTGCAGATCACCAGGGACGGTTCCTATCACACGTGGTGTCTGATTCACTGGCCCCTCCGCATCACTCAGGTCGACACAGGATGGTTCGCAGCATCCCTGTGAAACAAGGCATGTCTGGGAATCACTTGTACTTCTTCAACGTTACTGTTTTGGGGAAGGAACTGCATCTTCGCTTGAAGCCCAACCACAGGCTGGTGTCTCCTGGTGCTCTGGCTGAGTGGCAGGAAGATTTCCAAGAAGTCTTTCAGGAACCCTTGAAGCAGGAATGCATTTTCACAGGAGGCATTACAGGCATGCCAGATGCCACGGTGGCTATTAGCAATTGTGATGGATTGGTAAGCAAGAGGCAGTTTCATTTCATTCTATTTGTCACCAAAGAGATTTTTAGACTTCCCTCTTCCATTGTTCACAATCACCTTATCCTGAGTTTTGCAATTAGAAATTCCATGTGTAGACTAATAAAGACATGCATCCTTTGAAATAATTGCACATTGAATTATTTTTCTGAGAGTAGAATAAGATTAGCACAAGAAGCAACATATTTTAAGAAATGCAGTATCTACTGACTATAACTTTGTGGAGAAAATAGAAGGCAGGAGTATTAGGTGTATTTGCCACCTTGAGTTGACCAAAATATGTATATACGGAAAAAAAAAGGCGGGATAAAAATGTAATAACTATATAGTGCTTTGAAAATAATTAGGAAAAGGAGTGTGTGAGAACACAAATATAGTGCCTCTCTGCAGCTCTTTAAAGCAGCTGCATCTTTTCTTTGGATCATATGGCAAGTGCAGGGGGGAGCAGTGAGAAAAGATGCAGCAGCTGATATTGTGCAGAAAATACACAAGTTTTTATTTATAAATACTAAATTTGGGTTGTTTGCTATGAAACTTTTTTTTTCCCACCAGAAACTGGTGGATGTGCCAGAAGGGGTGAGTTGTGCTGGTGCTATCCTGATTCCATACTGCATACTTACTTAATCATCAATGCAGTTCTTTTCTTAGCATTCAGCCCTAGAAGAATGCCTGGGATTGGCAATGTTAACAGAAGCCTCTGTAAACAGCAAAGCCATGTATGAGTGATTCCTATATATACAAACTGAGAAGGCTTTTGTCTAGCTTCGCTTGTTTCACAGCACTTACTTGCTAGCTGCTAATCATCACTTTTACAAATCCTGTCAAAATCTTACACGCCACATTTTCCAGTGCCCCATTATTGATATTAAAGTGATGGGCACAAAGGCCTTTTTGGGAAATTTGGCTATTTTTTTGGTAACTGAAGTTTATTTTTCATTGCACAGTCAACCTGGAAATACCTGATGTTTTGCTCTCTTTATATCTGGAGTCCCCTGAGGTTTCTTTCTCTCCATCTAACCAAAATATGTTGACAGTTTTGCTTCCAAGAGAGGGGGAAAAGTGAGTTTTCCATATGCATTATCCTACTTTTTAGCACATTCTTGCTTTTTAGGTAAAAGTATCAGCTTACCCAGTGGGTAACCTTCCTGCTTCCACTTGATATGATAATGGAATACTTAATATTAAGTAAATTTGGACTGTAAGCATATATTCACCTTAATATCTTAAGGAACTTTAGTGAATATCAAGGTTCTTGAGATTTTGTGTATCAGATCTTTACCTCTAAATATTTCTCTGATCCAGACCATTTAGTTACCACATATATTACTTAATTAATATTAGTCAGTCAATAGATATTCATAGATTGCAATATTTTTTTTTACAGATTTAAAGGTAGAATAAATCATCACTGATACACTAGGATAGGGGCAAGTTGTGCTGAAGTTACTTCTCTACAGGCCTCTTATAATGAAAACCTTTAGTATAACTATATTTATCTTAATATGTAGGGGCTTGTTCAGGAGTGGAAGAAACAGAGTTGTCCAGACAGCAGAACTAAACATCAGGATGTTAACATTGGCTGATCATTAATATTGGAACTTCTTTCCCTCTAGAGTTTGCCAAAGTAAAGTCTGATTATCTTCCAGAAGTATGTTGGCTGGTTTTATCTGGGCAAGCATTAACATGCCAGGTAGAAATATGCAAGTTGTTTTTGTTGCATATTTATTTTTTATTCTTTTTAAAAGTTGCATCTCTTTATTCTGCATTTGAAATAAAAATAAAAATACAAGGAGTAGTTTCTCTTTGAAGGTAAAAGATCAGGTGGTAATCAACCGTTAATTGCAGCACACATGGGAAAAATATTTTTTATACTTTTCAATCATGTAATTATATACATGGACCAAATCTTCCAAACTGATTTAGGAATTAAGAAGTTGTCAACCCCATGAAATTAGAACTGTAAGTTTTGTACCAATTTGAAAAGAGTTCAACTATGGTTCCTCTGCTCCTCTATCCGTTGTTTGTTGTAGGTCATCTTATCGACACCTTAGCTTTCTCTTGTATCCCATGTGTTTCATTTGACTGCCCAGAAATCTGCTGAATTTTATTCCCTGAGTGATTTCCAGTCTGGAGATCAAACAAATAAGCAGATTTTAGCAGTGATGATTAAGGCAGGGGAAAAGCATTTTATTACATTTTTTGGATCACAGATACAGTATGTTTTAAACAGGGAAGAAGATAAGTCACTTTATACCATTGGTTTACGGCAACATTTTAACAATTCCGACAGGTGGCTTTCCTAACATTTGTGAAGATGCCGGGGATTTAGTGTGAGACCTTTTGCATGCAAACATGTACTCTAAGCCATGTTACGGTCCTAGTCATGTAAAATATTTGCTGGCTAATAGATTTTGCATAAATGCTGCCTCATCTTGGCATGCAAAATTGCTGTTGGACATCTGCTTTCTAAGAATAAGCTAATAGCCATAAAAGTAACGGTTTTGGCAAACTAGATAGATGAAATAGAGTGGTATGCTAGAACAAATAGAAATATTGAAGGTTAGGACTTGAACTGGATTTTGGGGAAATAATTTTACACTTTGCTTACTATCTTGTGTGACTTTGAAGATTAGGCAGAGAAGATCATCCAAACCCTCTTCTGTTTCCTAAAAAGAGATAATACAATCTTCAACTACCTTTCTTTACACATGTAAAGTATTTTTGTGTGGATGGAAAAGAGCAATAACATTTCTGTTTAGGAGTTGCAGGAGATGCGGTCTTATTATATTTTCATGAGGAAACTAAATTGTTTTAAATGATCTGTGATATAGAAGTGGAATTTTAAATTAGTTTTCATTAGGTAGAGACTTCTGGAGCATAGTTTGGTCAAATAATCAGCTGGATTTTCTGGATAGCAACAGCAGTAAAGTAAGACTAGATTTGATACTTTTAATCTACATTAAAGGGGATTGTCTGGTCACTTTGTTCCTCCTACCACATCCATCCTTTTGCAAATCCTGTTGCTGTGAGGTCAACATACTTCTGTGGAGAAATTGGCTTTCATCCATGCTACTGTGACAAAATTCAGTTGTCCAGTTTTCCAGTATGATGGCAGTGATGGTTTGCGTTCCTTTTATCTAAAGTTGAGCTGACCTAGTATTGTTCTGGAACACATTAATCTATTAACATTCCCTGCTCTCAGACTTAAAATATAAAAGATGCATCAAAAAAGGAAAAGAGATGGGGTGGAGGAGACACACATATGGAAGGAAGGAGATCTGTATCTATACTTACTTTAGTTGGGGCAAGCATGGTAAAACTTAAATTGGATCAAAGCATAATAGTGAATGGTAACAATGCACATTAATTAAATTAGGGGTTCATGGAACTAGAACTTAAAAATGTAAAATTAAAACTGAATTTAATTTAACACTAAATTGGTTCATGAAAATACTCCCATCAGTTTTTAACCTCTTCATTTTACTTTACTGGGCAATAATAAATTTGGACTAATTTTTGTGATGTTTGAAAGCATTTCTTTATATAGTTGTGTTGTTCCAGATAAGTACTGAAGTTTAGTTACAATGGAGCATTTTTCTGCAATCAAGGATTCTTGTCCTCAAGAAGTGAGCAATGTTATCAGTTTTATCATGTTTCAATGCCAGCATTTCTCTTCTGGAGAGTACCATTCTCTTCTCCTCCCCTTCTATTAATTTATTTGAGAAGATACTAGAAATGACAGTACTTATGTCCATAATGGTATAGATAATGTTTATGTAAAATTGTTTGACTTCTTGTTAGAAGATTATTAGAAAATATTTTTAGCTGGTTGATTCCATTGCTGTATATCCAGTCAGACAATTGGTGAAGGTAAAAATTCAAGCAAACCTATCTGTAATTTATTTAAGTATAGGGCATTTTTATAGATAAATTTTTCTGTACCTTACACTCTCAATCCATAATACCCCACTTTTTTTTTTAATAGAGCTGTAGTTGAAACAATTTTATTTTAATATTTTAATTTTTCTGAGCAAACTAACTGTGCAATCAGTTCCTCTAGAAAGGAAGCTGTGATGCTAGGTGTCTGGCTTTGAGAAGTGCCTTTAAGAATTGCTTCAAATTTCACAAAACCTGAGGATTTCCAAAGTGTATTCACTTATAACAACATCTGTTGTCACATATTGGCTGGGATAACTTCTTCCGTAATGAAGTATGAATTGTTCAAATGATAAGGATGACAGAATAGGACTCTTACATAAGCATCACAACATTTGGGGAAATGTCATCTTATTCCATTAACCGATGCTCTGTGTCTTATGTAAAAGTAGGAACAGAGCAAAGGAGCTCAGTATGGAAATGCTAATGCAACAAAGTCTCCAGTAAACTCATCGCCAGTTCTTCTTTGTCACTGACACTGTTGGATCGCTGTTTACAACTAAATATCCTGATTCCTCTTTCATCTTAGTGGGAATTCTGGAGATAAAACCTCCAGGCAGCCAAATGCACAATCATGTGCTAACTCAAAACTTCCCCCAGATTTTGCTTGGACAGCATCTGTAAGTATCCAGAGGATTTGGCAGGGAGGGTGGCTTTGAGATTAGTTAGTTGGCAAGACTCTCGTGTTTGAGCTGTCTTGGTTCAGTATCAAATTCTTCCAGGCTATCAGTTGCTGAATTTCTCTTCAGGAAAGTCTTTTCTAGGTTCAAGGTGGGCAGAATCTTGGCAAAGAAAGATGAAGCAGAAGGCTTTTGACTTCTGGATTCTGCTGTAAAAAGTGTTTGGCAAATCTTAAAGAATCATGTATTCAAAGTTGCAAAACATTCCAGAAAGGGTTGCAGAATCTGTAGTGGATTTAAAGGGATTGTCTATTTTCTGAAACAGTCTGCCTGCAAAGCACATTGGCATGTGAAACAAGATCTCATCAGGCTGTACTAGGCATTGTATCATTTGCTAGGCATTGTATTACTTGCTATTTTTGAATAACATCTAGCATCCAGTGGAAGTTGTAAGTTAAATGGGTAGATAAGTAGCAAAGATAATCATTTGAGAAACTGTTTTGGTTTCTGCTGTTCAGATTCAATAATATACATTACTCCTATTTTTCTTCTTGAAAAAGAAAGCTAAATTAAAAAGTACTGAGAGATAGCAGTGTTGAAGTGTATACAAGCAAAAAAGAGACACGGTTCCAAAAATACATCTTAATAAGTGGAATCTTTTTGGTTCAAACTCTTGTATTTAAGCAAACTTATATGGTAATATATTATTTAGGAAGGTTAGTTTTAGAGCTATTTTATTATGACAGTATTTTGTCTACCCAAGAGGATGGATGGAGATAGTCAACAGAATCATAATGAATATTATTAAGTAAATGTGTATGTGTATAGGATGGTTTTATAGCATGGTGAGATTTGATCTGGAAGTTATGTCCTGGCTGCTGCTGAAATATTTCACAGGGTTCTGAGGACACATCTTTCAGATTGCACAGTTATATAATGGTACTGCCATTACAGTAGTTCACCCTGAGCAGTTGTATATTGTTGCATGTGCTACTGGTCTACCAGCACAAAGTGTAGCTTTTCCTTTCAGAAGATGTTCTGGAGATGGGCATAAGGTCCTCCGTCATTATGGGAGAGGAGTTGAACACAGGTACCTCCCCCCCCCCGCTTTTAAAGATAAATTTGCAAGCTGGTTGATAATCACTGGATATGTACAGCTCCATTTTAGGATTTGTGCACATTCACACTATTTGGTTTGGTATTGTGATGCAGATGTCAGTAGGTAGTAAACTTCTGGTTAATTCTACTTGGACTTTCAAGATCTTGGAAGTACCTGGCTTGGTTAGTACACTGAAGGCCATCAGTGGATCCCAGGGCTGTAGGCTAGACTGGCAATAAAAAAAATCCTAGAGAACATCTGATTTCTATTTGCTGCCAAGAAAACTGCATCATAATTAGTTCCATATAACTTGAGAGCGTCTTTACGGGTTTTTTTGCATGTTTCAGAGATGGGGGAGTTGACACATTGCTTAGTCAAAGATAAATGTAATTGCTCATTTGAAGAGAATTCTGCATGATAGGTTATGATTATCTATACCAGCAAACGATTACCTATACCAGCAAATCAATTGAGTTGTATAATGGAATTAGAGTGACATTGGGAAAGGCATAAAAGAGCTGATTAGCAGGACTTAGAAAAAAGATTACACAGTCTAGAGATAGAAGGATGCATGAGAAAGAAACTCTGCTCAGAGTCATTGGGAGTTGGGCTGAATATAAATTTAAATAAATAAATAAGCTCAAAATAACCATACCTTGATTTTGTGTAGTATAAGAGGGGCAGGAAGAAATTTATACTGGTTTTCAAGATTGAGGTTAGTCCATTGCGGTAGACCAGATCAAGATACAGTTATTGCAGAGATTCCAGGAATGCTACTTTATTGTTGTAGGATATAGTGACAGAATCTTAAAAGACTGTCCGAGTGTACTCCCTTAATTCCTGACATAGAGAAACATAAGCCTAAAGAAACAAAATTGTTGTATGAGCTTGCAACATTCTCAGCTTAAATTTTGATCAGAAGACATTTTTCTGGGCTGGTGGAACTTAGCATATTGCAAGTTGGGCAAATTCACATTCTGAGCTTCACTATTATGAAATTTCATGCCATTCCTACATACCACATGCTCTTTACCTGAGCTGATATTCATCAGTTTCCTTTGAATCTGATTGCTATTTCTTCTTTCGGTACTAATAACCAAAGCTTTTGAATTATTTTCATCATTACATCCTTATGCTAGAATAGAGGCCAAAACCAGGGAAGACCATATACATTACATGTAGAAGATCCTAAGTTTCATCTTTAGCATGTCCAAGTAGATTGGCGGCTGGAGGGACCTTATCCCAAACTCTGAAGTTTGCCAGTTGTAAATAATTACAAGTTAGATGGCCCAGTGACCTGATCCCATACAAAGCAGCTTCCAATCTATTTATCTTACTGAATTAATGATGCTGTATCAAACATAGAAAAATATTCTGAAGCAATATTGTTTCATTTCTATAGCACTATTTTTTTCTTCTTTTCGTTTGACAACAAATGAGCAAAGCATGTAAATAAACCTAATGCTCATTCAAATGGGGATGTTTATAAAATGCTAAGTATCAGTTTCCTTTACAAGAACTGTAGGGACTGTCTGATTCTGCTTTTTTTTTTTTTTTAGTGCTCTCATTTAAATGAAAGCAATGTGCACACCAATGATTTTTTCATTTACAGTGTAATGAGAAGTTACTGGATTTTGATTAATGGATAGTGATGGGAAGTTACAGTTAACTTCCCTGTGGTCTGTACAAATACTGCCGTATTTGCAGCTGGTACGATAGCTACATAAAAACTGCCTTAAGCAACACTTAGTAAATATTTCTATTACATTGAGACAACACTATGTTAAATCTTGTTTATTGTAGGATTGAGCTATAACAGTGAGGGGGGATATTTTTCATTAACATTTACAAAAGTTCTCCCATTCTGCAGCGGTGGTCACTGCTTGGATTGCAGTGAAGGGGCAACAGTAAAGAGTCATCAGAATGCAATAACAAATCTTCAAAAGGGCCAAGATTTGTCTGGTGGCTCCGATCGGTCACTTGATCGGTCACATGATGCCACCCTAAATCTGAGATTTCTAGTTAGTTTTTATTTCTGCTCTCTTGAGGAAGAGCATCCAGATTTAAGCAAATGTATTGCTCTTGTTGTATCGAAGGGGCACGTTGAGGGTAGAAGAGGAAATCGTTTCATAAAAGGGTATATATGAAATTTGTTGAAATATTCAGAAGGAATATAAGCAACGTATTATTTTAAATTCATTTATTAAATTTGTATGCTACATTTTCATTGGTGTTGAATACCATACTTATTTTGTGTTGGCCCTAGGGTTGCTAACTCGCAAAATCAGTAGTTCTGTGTCCTGAGCTGGCTGGGAGTGCAGCATTTGGGGAAGATGACATGGTATGGACACTGTTGCTGCTCTGCCTTATGAATGTCTTCTTTATTTGGTGGGCGCATGCAGGAGATAAGGACAACATTCTCAATAGTTCACAATACATATACTACACTATACTATATTATATTATCCTATATGTATGTTGAGCAGACCTGAAGCTCTGCTTAGCACAGTGGCCATCAACTAAGCTTTAGCTTAATAACAGTAGCAGCAGACTTTGCTGACATATATACGTACCATGATGGGTGCTGATACTGGGCTGAATGGTTCATTCCCCAAATGTGTGTTTGGAATTAGTCTTAATGTCCTTCCAAGAGTTGCGGGGGGAGGGGCATGAGGAATGGGCATCTGGCTTAGAAAACACTCAACCTATTTCTGATTCTTTGGCGGGTGGATTTCATTTCCAAGGTTGGTTGGGATTAACTTTCCTATGAGTTTGCCTTAAACGAAAACATCTATTCGATAACAGCAGAAATGAGTTTGTGAAAGTTTCTGTGGTTTCATTCTGTGGTTTTCTAGGCTGGTCTCATTCGAACAGACAATGGCGAATTTTTCATTGAGCCTCTGGAGAGAGGGCAGTGGGAGAAAGAAAAAGATGGGAGAGCTCACGTGGTTTACCGCAGGTCTGCTATCAAACAAGAGAGAACAGAAGCATTCAAAGACTATCATAATGAAGGTATGACTGAAGAAGCAAACACGGTGATGCATTCATCTTATTTAGGTGACTGTACAAAATTCATGCATGATCTCAATCAGCATAGCATCAACTCCCAATGGGCTCCCCAAAGAAGGCATATCTGTTCCTTGAGTGGGTCAAGGCAAAGAAACATTGACAGAAAATTGTAGTTTATTTAATTTTGGTTTAGCATGCTGTGTAAACCTAGTTCTGTGGTTTGAAAAGTACCATTATAGCTATATATGATGTGTGAATCCAGCCACGTATTTATTAATTTTAAAATGTTTATCCCACCTTTGTTTTTGGTTAGTCAAAGCAGCGTACATACCTAATGCTCCTGCCTCCTGTTTTCCCCACAACAACCCTGTGAGCATATGTGAGTTGGGATGGGCTGAGAGAGAGTGGCTGACCCAACTGGCTTTCATGCCAGTTATGACTTACTCAACAAACCATGGCTAAAAAACTATGGCTTAGCAAACCTGTAGGTTCAAAAGTGACTCTTGTCATCCTGTTGCTTTAGAGTTTGATGTTTATCCATTAGCTTCAATCCCCTGTTGTGGGATATAGAAGGTTATAAACTTTGCCCTCACTGATTGGGATCACTCCACTCATGTTTACAATTTTCAATGAAGCTTCTTTTAATATTGTACATGTTAGGTGTTTCCCTGATTTGAGGTCATAGCAAGAGCAAAAAGATTAAATCTCCTATCCACTACTCCAAAATGTCATTCTATGTTGGGCAATTCCCTGATTTTTTGTACTGGTTTGGAAAAAGGGAATTCTACCCTGTGATCAGCATGGAAACCAAAGGAGAGGCCAGGCAGTGCTAAGGGCTTGAGTAGTATTTGTTTTGTTGCTTTATTAGCAAATCTGCAAGCAGAACATCATAAAAGTAGATAATGTAACTATTAATCTTGTCTCTGATGCCCCAAGCATCCAATTATAGATGTCTGCTCAGTCTTAGCATCAGTTCTAGCTAAAGTGCTCAGAACGTCTATCTTTCAAATTCATATTGAAAATGTTATTTTAATTGTTTCTCTATTCTTCCGAAAAATTTGATGATTACAGCCTCCAAGGACATTAGAGCAATTATATAAAAACCTAAGTATACATTGGTTGATACTTCATGCAAATATCAATGTGGTAGACCCATTCATAGCACTGAAATACACACTATGTTTAGCTTTACCCATTGTGCTAAGTCATGGTTTGTTTTAGCCATGGTTTCATGGTTTGTTGAATAACTCTTGTCTGAGTTCATATAATGCATTAATTCAAACCACAGTATATGCTATTATCTATCTATCTATCTATCTATCTATCTATCTATCTATCTATCTATCTATCTCAGTTTGAGTGCTTGCATTTGTACGTGTGTATACATGTTATGGAGCAATGCATTTTAGAGACACTAGCATGCCTATTAAGGTGATCCTATTTCATTCATTTTTTATGCTGTAGTTTGTTTCTAACTTTTTGAATTCCAGATTTCATCTTGGGTCAGCTCCCTCAAACTCTGAATCTGATTGAAGATCAGATTGGTGAAGCAGATCGGAAGAGGCGACATGCAAAGAAGGATGACTACAATATAGAGGTCCTGTTGGCCGTGGATGATTCGGTTGTACGGTTCCATGGGAAGGAGCATGTCCAGAATTATGTTCTCACCCTTATGAACATAGTGAGGCTCTTTCATCTTGTGTTTCTGGTCTTGGAGGTGTGGGAAAGAAAGCAAAAGGAGATTAGGCATAGTCACTGACTCAGTGTGATCACACAGTCTTCTTGGTATTGGTGTCAGGGAAGATTTCCACATTAATTGCCCACCCAAGAGGCCAGGTATGTGTCCTAAGAATCAGTGTACCTGGGATAAAGTCATAGTATGTAAGGTAATACCTTGAAGCATATAGCATAACAATGCGGTATTATGCGTAGCAGCCTTCCCTGATGCCCTCAAAGCATGTGCTGTTCCCAGAACATATTGGCCATGCTGCCTGAAAAATTTGATACCTATTTTGTACTCCAAAATACACAAAAAGTTGGAGAAGATGTTTTATAGAACTTAGCATTCATGAGGAAAGGATCTACTTCACTGAAGGATACAGGGTTGTAAGATAGTTTTATGGAAGATATTAAAAAGAGTTTTAAATGTTTTGGAGCAGTTACAGCCTTAGTCATAGAACAAGAATTTGTACTCTTTTGAAAAAATGTTTAAATGGGGTTATAATATACTGTAAATACTATATGCAATTCTGGGGGTGAGTGATGGGCTCACTCTTGGGTGGGTGACTATGGGTATGACTTTTTTTCAACCCATATGAAAGTGTATGAAAACTGATGGACTATTTGGCTGTTGACCATGACATTCATTTGATTTATCAGGCAATATTGTCTCTTGCCTAGTTAATACCCAGAGATGATTTATTTAAGACTTTAAAGATTTCAATAAAGTAAGGAGTGAAGGGAGGGGAGAATTCATAGACAAGTGCCATGTTCCCTCATTTCTTTCTTGTAGATATTGAAAGTATATATAGAAAAGTATATACCGTATTTCAAATAAATCTGCAAGTAGGTGGGTCACTTTTCTACCTTGCTATCTTTTTACTTTTCAGTTTCCCTCTTTGTTGGTGACTGGGGCCACTGTTTCTTCAGGAATTCCTGTTTCTTCGGGAAGACTAATTTCTTTTGCATGGCTTTTCCTGAACTGCTATTTTTTGAATGGGGTTGTAGTGTTGGGCTCTTTGTTTGGTTTGGTATGGAGTACTCCTTTTATTATGGTTGCTACTTTCTATCCTAATATTTATTGTTGCATTGCTTTACCCAGAGAGTTTTCTTTACAGTTTTAAACACTAAAAGTTGGCCTTTTGCAGCCTAAAAGAGTTACATGCTGGACCAGCTTGAAGTGATATTGTTTTTAAGTCTGGATGCCCAGCACAGTGCTTAAAGCAAATGATGCTGCTTTCACTAGCGTGTCAGGGTTAGGGAATAGAAGTGCTTATTTGGGACCTTAGCTTGCTTCCTCCCTGCTGCTTGGAGTAGTCACATGTCCTAAAACTTCTGTGCACAAATCATGCACTTCTGCCTGTGCAAAATGGTCCTCTTTGTTACCTATTCATGTATTCAGATGATGGTGGTACACTAGAATGAACCTCAGCACAAAAATATCTTGTGCACATATAAACCATATGTCCTATTCGAGATAACCTTGAAATCTAGCGTTCAACATGCATTTCTTTGATTATTAATCCTATTTGAACCATGAATGGGCTTTCGCTGTCCCTGATTCTTTGGTTCCCTGTCCCGCACTGCTGGTTATCGTTACGATGTCCTTTTTTTTCTTCTTCCCCGATTGGTGGGTGATGGCATGAGAAGCCCAAAATGATCATGTTTAATTCAAAGCTTTATTTCCAACTCCACTTCATGGTTTACACTCAGCGGGGAAGGCGTTTCACTTTGTCGGTATTCAGGATGCTGCAGGGGTGGGTCCTGAAAGAGAGGTGCAGCTGCCTTTTGGAATGGAAAAATCTCCGTCAGAGAACTTAATGAGCTAAAAGAAAATAGGAAAAACATGACCTTTGCCTAAGATGCAAAATGAATAGTTTACCAAACCATTATCTCCTTTGCTAGCTTTTCCTTCCCTTTTGCTTTGTTCATGCTTCTGGTTCTGAGACCTTCTTTTTGCAACCTTGTCAAATCTCTGGCAGGCTCGGTGAGGAACACCCACAGCTTCATGGCCTCCTTAGTTAGTTATCCATCAATGCTGGTGATCTTTTCAGAAGCTTGTCTTTAGGCTGGATTCCCACTAAGTGGTTATATCACCCAGAGGGCAGCGGTGTTTCAAAAGGCATTTGTTTGAGCCTTGGCAGCTTCTGAAGACGCTTTCCCCAGAATTTGACAAGCCTGCCTTGGCTTTTTCTTGCTGCTAAAATAACTACAGAATACAACTTACAGATTTCTTTTAAAGAAAAACACACATGGGACTGAATAAAAGGGGACAGAGGTACTGATAGCTAGCTCAGAATGTAGTAGGAGCAGGTTAGACTGGTGACGGAGCATAATAGAGAATTGGATAGCAGTCCATTCCTCTCTGACTGCCCAGAGTCACCTTGTGTGAGATGGGCGGCTATATAAACATAGATAGATAGATAGATAGATAGATAGATA